AGGAGGGCCTGGGAGCCACAGCTTCCTGTCATGGGGTGGGAGGGGGGCTCCTTCCCTCCTCCCTTCCAGGCAGTCCCTGGGGATCCCGCTAGTTCTGGCCCCAGTTCCAGGCATGAGGGGCTGCACAGGCAGTTCTTGCCAGCTCCCATGGGGGCCATTCCCACCTCCCAGCTCCCTAAAGCCACAGGGATATGAGGGGTCACACCAGTGTCTCCTCCTCCCCAAGCAGGACATGCAGGGACCTTGGCCAGCTCCAGGCACTGGTCATCCTGAGAGGTCCCAGGTGGCCAACCACTAAGGCCAAACCAGCTCTCTCTCTCACACACTCAAGGCCCCTCCACCCTGCTGAGTAAATCAGGGAGTCCGGCAGGGAGCCCTACCCCTCAGGCCTGAGACCTGTGCCCTGGGCAGAGACACCCCTCCCGGCTTGCTCTGGGCTTGCTCTGCCCCTAGTTCGACTCCATGTCCAAGAACAGTTCACAGTTCAAATTCCTCAGTGGATGGAGAAACTGAGGAAGCTCTGAGAGGACAGTCACCCCCGAGACCCTGGAGTGGGGTCACAGGAGAAACAGGGACATGGCAGGGCGGAGGCTGGCTCCTTCCTGACCCACCTCAGGCAAAGGCCCAGTGAGCTGCGCCCCCCACAGCCAGCCCTCGCCGGCCTGAGGCCGGCCCCTCCCTCTCAGCTCTCCTTCCTCAGGCTGGCCCTCCCTCTCCTCGCTGCTGCGAGCAGCCCTCCCTGCCCTCTCCCTCCCAGAGCTGGCTCTCTCATCCTCAGCTCTTGGAAGCCTGACTCACTGTTTCCCCTCCTCTCTCTCCTCCCTCCTTCTCTCTCCCGGCAGCGGCGCCTCCCCCTCCCCTGGGGGGGCTCTGGCCACAAGGGTGCCCGCCTGCTTCTTTCCCCAGGCCCTGGCCTCCCTCCACACACAGGAGCCCCGGCAGCTGTTCCAATTCCCCAGCTAGAGAGGTGGAGCACAGAGGGCCGGTCCCAGGCCAGGCGGGAGTGTGGCCCTGGGCAGAAGCTCTCCTCTACAAACCTGGATCAGCAGGGCTGAGGGGAGGGTGGGGGCATCAACTGGACAATGGCCGGCATCTCTAGAATCCTAATTAACGTTCCCCACTTTTAAAACCCCAGTGCCCCTTGGTGTAGAGTACCCACGACCTGTACCTGCCTCAGGTTGGCCCCAGGTTTCAAGAAGGGCTGTCCTCTACCCCCAGACATCTGGATAAAACAGGAGATGCTGTCCCAGGGCCAGACCCATCAGTCGAGTGACCCCTGGAATCTCCCTGTCACCCCATTCTCCCTCTTCCCTTGGGCGTCTCTCTATCACCTGCCCTCCTCCCTCTTCCCAGGGACATTTGTTTGTTTCTTTTCCAAAAACAGCCCTAGTATGTGCTCTGGGCTGAAAAGCCTGCTGTGCCTGCTGGTTTCGGGTTGGGGGTGAGGAGTGGCACACACCTAGAGGCCTGCTCAGTCCTCTGTACCCCACCTCCTGGGCTGTGCTGCTGGCTCTTCTCCCTGCCTGTTTGCTCTCTCACCCCCTCATCACTGGCTTCTGTCACCATCTCTCCTTCTCTCCACCTAGCATGTGGCTGTCTGGATCTTTCTCCCCATCCCAACTCTCTCCCTGGGGGGGCGGGGGGGCCATCTGCTAGCATTAGCAACAATGTCACCCTTGCTCCCTCCTGCAAGGCCCAGCTACACCCCATCCTGGCATCTCCACACCCCTCCACCCCGAGTCCCAAGAGACCCAAAGACAGAGCTGCGTTCATCCCCGAATAGTCTGCTTGACCTCACGCAACAAGACCAGAAGGGCCTGGGCATCTGGTACGAAGGCATGGCACCCCCTGGTCTGGGGTGGCTGGCATCAGACACAGAGCGCTGTATTCCTCAAACCATAAATGAGTAAATGAATAAATAAGTAAATAAATAAGTTGGGGGGCTGGGGGGCAGGGAATAGGACAGCCAGAAGAGAAATGAAGAGGTCAGTTTCACCTGAAGGAAGCCCTTGTCCATAGAGACAGAGGCAAGGGAGGGAGTGGCTCAAAATCAGAGCTCCGGCTGAGCTGAGAACAAGCAGTGTCCCTCTGGGCCTGTCTCCAGAGCAGCCCCCTCCCCAAGTCCTCTGCCAGGGACAGTTTGCCCCTCCAGACTGCAGACAGCCACAACAATCAGGTGGCGAGTCCATCCCTTCATGTCCTTTAGCTTCCAAGTCCAACCTCCCCACATTACACCTCCACTTAGCTCAGCAGGGGTTTCCAGAAGCCTCTCTGGCAAGATCGAAGCAGGTGGAGTGGGGGGAACAAAGCCCCCCAGCACCCAAGCCCCTTTGCCAAAGGCCTCACCAAGGGCTGGGAACAATGCAAAATCATCCTGGAACCCTCATACCCCCGTGCTGAGAAGCTGTGCTCTCCATTCACAGCACCTGGGGTGCAGGGGCTCCCTGCCCCCACGACCCTGCTCCAGACCCCCCAGCCCAGCCACCATAATAAACAGCAAGCTCTTTTTCTTTATGACACCAAATTTCTCCAAGCCCAACAGCTCCTTCCATCACTACCTCAGCCGTAGATCACATTAAAAACTCACAGAGGGCAACTTAAACACATCACATTTGTTTCTCTCTATATTATTTCAAAAGTAACGGCATTAAAAATGGATTTTACTACAGAAAATAAATATCAGCACGTGGGCCCTGAGCCCAGGAGGGGGCAGGGAGAGAGCCCACCAGGAGAATGTCCCCGAGGGCTTGGGCACAGCTTAGACATTGACCAAGGAGGTGGCTGGGAGACCAGACCTCACCCTGGAGTGGGGGGGATGCCCGGGAGGGGGCAATCCCTGCCCACATGGGCACCAGCCCAAAGCCGGGCCAAGAGGGACACGAGTCACTGATTTGGACTGGTGCCCACTAGCCCCCCAAAGCTCATGCCCTCACTGATCTTTGCAACCTCACAAGGGCCAGAGCTCTGGGGCAAGAAGTTCGCCCCTCTCTGGGGGTTTCTCCAACTATTGACACAGCAGGAGAAAAAAATGAATTCAACTTACTATCCAGTTTGATTACTATAAAAATAAATATACATCTGCTCAAAGGAGGGAGATGGCAGTAGGCATGCACATGCCACGAGGGGGTCCCCCCACAGCTCAGCAGAACCCAGCCTGCCTCCGCCCCAAGTGGGAGGGAGGGATGGACGGATTGGTAATCTTTCACTTCCAGCCCCAGCTCACACCATCACACGGGCCGGCCGCAGGGAACAGGAGCAAGCCAACAATAGAAACACCCCAATGCTCCTGGCAGGACTCTGCCCAGGCCCTGCACACGCTCCTGCCCCGCTGGCGGCAGCGGCTGCAGTAGCAGCAGCAGCAGCAGCAGCAGCAGCAACAGCAGCAGCAGCAGCAGCGGCGGCGGTGGAGGACAGAATGTGGCCACCCTGACCCGAAGGCAAAGCCTGTCCTCACACCCTGCGCTCTGCCCAAGGAGCTAGGGCCAAGTCCCGCCTGACACCAACTGGTCCGGCGGGAAACGCCTGCCCAGCCAGACAGCACAGGCCCCCCAAGGGTCCCTCCTTGTGCTGAGGGGCCAGGCTGGTGCAGCCTGGCCGTGCCTCCCAGGGTGACGCCTGGGCCCAAATTCAGCTGGCCCTGCCAGTCAGGCACTGGTGCAGAACCGAGGGCACCAGGCTCAGCCCCTCCCAGACCAGCCCCAAGGCCCCCAAGCTAGGAGGGAGGGGGGACTCCCCACCCCTCCACATCTGGCCCTGGCCCCCAGGGTCTGCGGTAGAGAATTCCCGCCCCCGCTTCTCTCTCTCTCTCTCTCTCTCTCTCTCTCTCTCTCTCTCTCTCTCTCTCTCTCTCTCCCTCCCTCCCTCCCTCCTCCTGCTCTGTGCCCGCTGCCGCCTCAGGGACAGCCCCAGCTCCCGCCTCCGGCCAGCAAGGCCCACATCCTTCCTCCCTCAGCTGGCCCCTTAGCCTGGCAGGAGGCTGGGGGGTCAGGCTGCTAGGGAACCCCTCCAGCTCCCATCAGTCCTCATCCCCAGCCCCCAAACTCTACGTTGCTGTCCCTTTTCCTGTAGAACAGGAAACAAGGTTATTTCCTAGACTCTGAGCCAGCCCCCTGCCCCTCTGGCTCAGCTCGGGGACCAGGACCCTGCGGGGAAAGGCGCCCTCAGCCAGAAAGCAGAGGGATTCAGCAATTCACCCCCAGCTCCTGGCCCAGGGGGCTGACAGCTGTCACTCAGCACCCCACCCCCTAGGGAAGAGGGGGCCGATTCAATCTGAGCCCCAGAGGAAACGCATTGATAGGCGATTATTTATTTATTTATGCAAAAGTGAGCCGACTTTGTTCGCCAGGTAACCGGGCACGCGGCCCAACCCCTCTGGCCCAGGCCGCCCCCAAATCCCTCCTCCGCCCCACACACCCTCGGGGTCATTAGGTCCCCGCCCCTCAACTCCCAGAACACCAGCGGAACCTTGGGATTTGGGGGTTGGAGGGGAGGGGCTCCTCCCTCTGCAGTCTCCCCCTTTCCCAGCGCCGTTCCTAAAATCCAGCCTTGTTCTCCGCTCCCACGGTCCCCCCTTCATACCCCCCCCCACATTCTCAGCAAGCTTGAGAGCAAATTGCAGTTTTAAATCCAAAGACGGAGGGAGGGGGAAGGAGGAGGGGGCGCGCGGCAGCACTGGGCGCGCACCTCGCCCCCGAGCCGGGGGAGCCGCGGGGCGGCCAGGAAACCCGAGAACCCCCCCTTCTCGCCCCCCCTTCTCGTCCACCTCCCCCTCCCCCTTCCCGGCGCTGCCTGCCAGGCTTCGAGCCGAGCCCAGCCGAGCCGCGGGCCCCGGTGGAAACAAAGACCGATCGCACCGCGGGCACCGCAGCCACCGGGTCCGGCGGACCGGACCGGGGCGCGCGGAGGGGGCGCGGGCCCCCCCGCCGCGGTGCGCTGCACAAAAGAACCCGACCGGCCGGTTCCCAGCGGGGGTCTAGGGCTGGGGAGGAGGCGCCACTCACCGGAGTGCTGGGCTGCCGGCTCCGTGGGTCCGAGCCAGGCAAGAGGCTTTGGGGGGCGTCTGTCTTCCGGCGGCGGCAGCGACGCGGGCGCCCGGCTGCTGGGGAGAGGAGTCGTGGAGGAGCCCTGAGCCACCCGCCGCTGCTGACAGCATGGCTCGCGCCTGGGCTCACATTCTCCGCCGCTAACTCCGCTGGACACGGCCCCCAGCTCCCGCGGCGCCCCCCACCTCGATCACTCCGTTGCTCTCTCTGCGCCCCCCCTCGCTCCCCCCGCCGCGCACACACTCACAGCCCTGGACACCCCCGCCCCCACCCCCCCAATTGCAAACCTGGGAGGGAACGCGCCCCGCGTAGTCCTCCTCCTGCTCCTCCTCCGCCCTCCTCCCTCCCTCTCTGGCTGTCTGTCTGTCTCTCTGACTGTCTCTACCTCTCGCTCTCTCAGTCTTTCTCTGCTCTCCGAGCTGGGTGGGAAAAGGAAATGAGGACAGAAAGCAGACGCTGGCTTTGGGTGGTGGTAGCTGGAATCCCTCTCTCCCTCCCTCCCCCTCCTCCCCTCCCTCCTCCTGCCTTCTGCTCTCTCCGCTGCGAGCGGGGCTGAGCGCAGCCTGGCGGGTGGCTTGCTCT